CATACGGGTCACTTTGAATGATAAAATGTGGGCCAAGCTTTCCAACTCTGAATAGTCTAAAGTTACCGAGAGTCAAGGAAACTCAGATCACCACATTTTCCTTTTGACAGATTGTGGCTTAAAAGGAATCACCTATTTTCACCGAGTTTATAGCACTTTGTATTACGACCCAGACTTGGAAAAGGCACAGGTGGACTTAGAGAACTCAGCCTAGTGACGATGACACCAGGAGACCACACCTGGAGATGTCTTCCCCTAACTCCCCACCAGGGTTCCGGCAGCCAGTGGGGAGAGGGAAACACTGGCTGCCGGAAACAGAGAGGTTGGGGACACTGATTTTTGTCTGCCTAGCAAAGGAGTTGAGGGCAGAGGAGGAGGCTGAGGGCTCAGGCTGAGTTCAACGGGAAAGGGAAGAGAAGAGTAGGACATGAGACACAGAAGAGCCTCCCTTCTCTCACACCTGCGCCTTTAAGGCTTCATTCCAAGACAGCAGGTGTTGGCTATAGTACGAGACTCAGTTTGTGTTCATGGTAAGGATTCCATGTGTAGGTATTCGCCCACCTACATGTAACCCCACGCATCTCTGACCACATAAATAGCAATTTCTGTATTTCCCCGAGTTCATCTATAACAGTGGTTCTCAACCTTCCTAATGCCGCGACCCTTTAATACAGTTCCTCATGTTGTGGTGACTCCCAATTTCATTGTTAAAAATTGAACATAATTAAAGCATAGTGATCAATCACAAAAAACAATATGTAATTATATATGTGTTTTCCAATGGTCTTAGGCGACCCCTGTGAAAGGGTCGTTCGACCCCCAAAAGGGTTGCAACCCACAGGTTGAGAACCGCTGATCTATAAAGAAAAGCATTCCAATACAGAAATCACATTTGATTGTGATTTTTAGGAAGCCTACTTAAGAAACATTTTCTACCTGGCCCAGCAAAAGGTGTCAGGTGCCCCTTTACAAAGCAGCTGAAATAATGAAAATTAGAGAGTTCAGGACAGGTAGAAGTGACACCGAAATGAGGACCAAAAGGAAAGCAATCGTGCATGAGGCATATCTATACATATAAAAGGCTAATATGCAAAGTGTCCCCTTGGGAGTTCAACTGAGAGACCTGGAGTTTGATTGCTCGATATGACGTGCGCTGACCACCAGGTGGCAGCACGAAATGAATGAAGCCCCAGGACGGCAGCTGGAAGGCCCTGATCGGCCCTGACTGCAGTCCAGCCCGCCGAGGGAACCTACCCGTGCACGAATTTCGTGCACCAGGCATCTAGTGAATAAAGAAAAGCTTAAAAGGAAGTTTTGGAGTATACATTACATGTAGCATTTCAATCACCTAAATTTGTGTTTTGTTGGCTCCTTAAAAAAAGTTACCCAATAATTCTCCATCTTTATTAAACCCTTCATTGCTTTTATAAACAATATATTCTTGCACATGGAGATTAGCCATAGATTTAGTTTTATTTTTTTTACTATCACCACACCTCTTCACAAAGACACACATATTTAGGTGTGTGTGTGCTAACTATACACCACTATTGTTTCCAATTTCGACCAAAAAAGTAGTGGTAATTCATGTACATTTACATTGTTGGGAAAATATGTGTGGAGTGCATTTATCACATCTTCCTTAATGATTCTTTTCCGAAAATAAACCCTTTTAAAAATAAATTAAAAATGTACTGCTTAAAGTCAGAAAATGAATTAAGTGGCCTTTCAGGAGCCCAACCATTTTTAGATCCATAACTAGAAGTAACAAATATTCCAAGGAGAGGTTGGACCATGAAGCCTTCCCCAGGGAGTGGAAGCCATATGTCCCGTGTCTCAGTCAGACAAATGTGCTACCTCCCCACTGTCACTCCCCATGCCCAGTTGATTGTGACTGCCTCCCGGTCTCCACGGATCTCAGTGAGTGAAGATCACCTCCTACCCATGTCCAACCCCCTCGACGAGGCCAGAGCAGAAGCTTGGGTCGCTGTTGGAACCACTGCTTGCAAAGTGGACCAGTCTGTTTGAGATGAGAAATGATCTTTAAACATTAGGGATCCCCTTTTACCAAAAGCAAAATGGGTAGTAATTTGAAACAGCAGTAAGCATGCGTAAAGATTACGGTGTCAATGTTCTACCCGTAAACAGACATGGCCCAGAAAGACTCTAAAACTTATACCTCTGGACACAAATACACATCAATGGATTCAAAATGTCAACAATCATTGAAGAAAAATGACTGATAAAACACTGAAAAGCTTATTGCTGTCCCTTAAACGTAAATTTTGAATTAATCAAAATTATATCTATTTTTCTGTCAGATTGGCAAAAAATATGTTTTTTGGTGTGCCCTAGAATTTCAGTAATTAGTTTATGTGTGCCATGAAATTTAAAAAAAGTTTGAAAAATCACTGGCCCAGAAGCCTGAAGATGCCCAGGGGGTGAAATTAATGGATGTATATCTATACATATATAGCCTTTGCTCACCTGAACTCCACCTGTCTTCCGATACACAGAAGGGAGGACTCAGGCCCTTCTACTGATCAGTGTTGGAGGAAGAACCGTTTTTTTCCTCTTTCAAAATTGTGACATAAGACGCACCCATTTGTTGGGAAGGCACATACACAGACATACCATCACCCACAGACACAGAAAAGATTTAGCTTTCGGCTTTGGATATGATGCAAATATTACATCATGTACCCGGGGGTTATATTAGAACACAGCCCAGTAATGATTCAGTAATCCACTAGGTCTAATTTGTGACTAAGTTAGAGTATTCCAGAATCTATGGGGCTCCTATAGATTGGTAATGGATGATTCAAGTCTTGTCCTGGTGGGGAAGGGGGCGGGGGAAGGGAGGTGTGTGTGTGTGTGGGTGGGGGGGACGCGACAAAGCCGTACAGTTGAGCCACTAAGAAACTTAAATGGGGGTAGTGCCCTTGGCGGTCCCGGAGCTGCCTCTTGCTTCAACAGTGTTTGGACGAACAGACCCAGGGACGCCCCTTCTCCCAGCCTCCGGCCACCCTCCTGCGTCTTATCCAGTCACCACCTTCAGCACCACCTCCGAGACCAGCCAGCACACCGGCTTCTTTTCTACCTTAACCCCTTATGCGAACAACCATGAGCTCCCAGATCCGTCAGAATTATCCCACCGAGGTGGAGGCTGCGGTCAACCGCCTGGCCCCCTGCTTCTGCCTCTGCGGGCGCCCACACCTACCTCTCTCTGGGCGAGATGGTGGAGAAGGGCTCCTAGTGTCTCTTAAAGTTGCAAACCCAGCGCGGTGGCCACACTGTCCCCCAGGACGCGCTGAGGCCTCCCCAGATGAGTGGGCAGAACTCGGGGCGCCAGGGAGGCCGCCCCGGCCTTGGGGAGGAACCTGACCAGGCCCTGGTGGAGCTGCAGGCCCTGGTTCTGCCCCCGGGACGCTCAGCTCTGATTCCCGCAGAGCCGCTTCCGGGTGAGGAGGGGAAGCGCATCAAGAAGATGGGCCACACCTGGCTCCCTCCGCAGGCTGCGGCCCCAGGCCGGGCGGGCGAGTGGCTGTAGGAAAGGCTCAGCCTCCAGCACCACTAGGAGCCTGTGGAGCCCCGAGGCCTGTGAGGGGCCCCTCTGCCTCCCCTGGTGTCTGCCTTGTGCCTGAGCCTCTCCCCGAAACCCCAGCCATTCTTTTAATCACCCGAAGCCCTCTCCCGTGCATTGGACCAAATGAAACAATAAAGCAGTGGTTCTCAACCTTCTGGCCCTTTCAATACAGTTCCTTATGTTGTGACCCAACCATAAAATTATTTTCGTTTCTACTTCATAACTGTGATGTTGCTACTGTTATTAATCGTACTGATATGCAGGATGGTCTTAGGCGACCCCTGTGAAAGGGTCGTTCGACTGCCAAAGGGGTCGCGACCCACAGGTTGAGAACCGCTGCAATAAAGCTTTTTGCAGAAAAAAACAACAACAAAAAACTTACATGGAACAAATATTCCCAGGATTGACACCTTAATTTCACGCTCCTGACTTTCCCATGAACACTGATCACAAATCAGCATTCTTCCTCAGCTTCTCAGACCAGCGGAGCTAAACCAGTGGCTGCTCCCCCAATTCAGGACACCCAGAGTTTAAGCTGCATAGAAATTTCCAACTTACACTCCAACCGAATTCTACACTCCTGTTGATTGTACACACTTGAATATAAGGTAAACATTTTTATTTTTCAATTTTTTTTTCTCTCTCAGGGGGAAAATAGGTCACATTTAAGTCTTTTCACAATCTCTTAAATAGGTCACATTTAAGTCTTTTCACAATCTCTCAAAGGATTTTTTAAAAAATCCTTTTTAAAGGATTTTTTTTTAAAAAAATAAAGTATCGTTTGGGGAAGACACATTAATTTGAAATGACTTCAATGAATGTTTTGGACACCTATCAGTGAGAAAGAGTCCAAGCTATTGAACAAATGTACACTTAAGGATTTTTTTTTTAAACCCTCACCTAAGGGCATGCTTAGAGAAAGGAAGGGAGAAGGAGGAAGGGGAGAGAGAGAGAGAGAGAGAGAGAGAGAGAGAGAGAGAGAGAGAGAGAGAGAAGAAACATCAATTCATTGCCTCCTGTACATGCCCATACTGGGGACTGAACGCACAACCCAGGTACGTGCCCTGACTGGGAATCGAACCGGCAACCTTTAGGTGCATAGCACGATGCTCAAACAACTGAGCCACTTCGGCCAGGCAGGACGATTGTTAAATGTTTTTAAAATGGGGTACTTTCTGATGACAGCACCAACAACAGACTCAAAGAGGGCTGTATCTCAAGCCACCTAGTCCAGCGTGAAGAAGAAACTGTACTAAAGTGGCTTTGGGAATGCTAAAGATGAATGGAGAGAATTTCAATTAATTACTTCATGAAATGTGAGTGAGCTAACCAATACTCCTAAGTTATTAGTTTATAAATTATGTGACTTTAAATATATTTGTGTCACTAATTTCCTAAATAAAACATAAAGAGACATGTGGCCATCTATATTTATTTTCATAATTAAGTTGACCTAACTATTAAGAAGTGAAAGACCATCCTACATGGGGTCATCATCTTATATTTGCCCATATTCCAGAGAGCAACAGATTTGCTGAGTCTATATGTGATGAGGTCTGGTGGTGACAGAAGGCAAGGAGAAGACATGATATAAAATCCAGTCTTGAAATTCCAATCTGCTTTGGGTTCCTTGTCAGGTTCTTTGTCTTTTGTTTCATTGGGTAAAGCTGAGGGCTCATTCCAGCCTACGCACAAGGCTCCTCATCACCTTTTTAAAAAAATATATATTTTTATTGATTTCAGAGGAAGAGAGAGAAAGAAAGAGAAACATCAATGATGAGAGGGGATTATTGATCAGCTGCCTCCTGCACACCCCCTACTGGGGAATGAGCCCACAACCCCGGCATGTGCCCTTGACCGGAATCGAACCCAGGACCCCTGAGTCCGCAGGCCCACGCTCTATCCTCTGAGCCAAACCGGGTAGGGCCTCATCACATTTTTTGAGTTAATTCAAGGAGCCTCCAAAAACTTCACCATTAAAACTCACGAGGCAATATAGTGGCCTTCAGTACTGTCAGGACAGTTAATTATAACAATAATACTGACACATAGTGAGTGCTTGAGAGGCACTGCACAGAGTGCTCTACAAAGACCCGAGTAACGAGTGCAGTAGCTTGCTAAATCCCAGCACTGGTAAATGCCGGAGCTCGGATTTGAACCCAGGCAGTCTTACTCCAGAGCCTGCGCTCTTATGCATGATACTACTTAAAGAATTTAAATAACAGAATCCATGAGAGTATAAACCTTTCCACGGGTCCTTTCCACTCTCCGTAGCACCTCTTTTCCAGTACCAGGCCGTGGGAAAAACCACATTGGTGATCTATAATAATCTGGAATTCTGAGCTCACTATTCTAGAACAATTGCTTCAAAACTTGCCTGATGGCTGAATCCAACAGTGTATTTTAGTCCTCGTCTTTGTATATTCGTATTTTTTTAATCTGAACACCAGCTGTTACTCTTACATTGTCGAAACTCTTATGAACTCGTTGCCTAACAAAACACACCTCTTTCTTAACTCTTTTCTCCTCAGCGCTCATCCCTCCCGATTCTCCTTCATTGTTCTTCCATCCCCTTGTTAAGTGTTGAGGTTTCTCTTACCTCTGTCTCCCAGGTGTCTCATCTATTGTCACGGCTTTGCTTTCCACCTTTGGGCTCCTGACTGTATATTTCAAACTTTTCTTCTAAACTTCAAAATCATATTTCCAGCTGTTACCCAGGGCTGTTGGACATCTCTACTCTCATCTCAATCAAATTCAACAGGTCCCCCCAGGAATTCCATCCCTCCTCTTCACTGCTCAACCTTGCTCCCAAATCTCATACTTCTCTCGCAGTCCTCCTTTCCTTTAAAGGTATCACTGTGTAAACAATCACATGACCCATTTGGACTCTTTGGACCCATCTTGGACTCATTCCTCACAATTTTCCCTTGCTGGTATTCCTAACACACACACTTAGTGGATCACCAAATTCTTTCAATTGTACTTTCGAAATGTCTCTGTTACCTGTTTTCTGTCTCATTTTTACTCTTGCAATGGCCATTCACTGGCCTCTCCGAGCACAACTCTATCCCGTAAGCCTCTGAGTGAGCGACCTTGACTATATCCTGCTTATAAACCACCTGCAACCCCTTTTTGCCTACAGAACACCATCCTAACTGCACAGCCTGGCATGCAAGGCTCTTAGGGACCAGATTCTTGGCTACAGTTCTAGTCTCCTTCTAGCCCCTTCTCCAGTCATACCTCCCCATGTGAACTCTGACCCAGACCATTGGAGCCACATGCCACATTCTCTCACATCAACTGTGAGCTCCTGGAAGGGAGTATGCCTCTTCCTTACTGATCTCCAGACATCTGAGTTCATTATACCTATAGTGTTGGCGTTAGACTTTTAAAAGAAATAAGGTTCCAGGCATTTTAAGTCACTTTACAATAATCTCTCATCCTTTCAGCAGCTCTACAGGGTTGCACAGCACTGCTGCCTCCATTTAACAGGCGAAGAAACAGACTCGGAGTGGCTGAGGTTACTCATAAGGAAGTAGTAAGTGAATGCGATAAAATCTGAAGCCAGGTCAGGCCGCCTCTGAACCGTGTGCTTTAGCTGAGACCATCCCTGAAAGTCTCGCTGATGACATCTAACACCATGACTTCACCTTTGAGGGAACAACCAAGAGGCAATGTCGTTGCTTTGGACTCACAGGGGCAGCCCAGAGGATGCACAGATGTGGGTCGCTTAGGGAGGTGGCAAATACCATACTTTCAGCCCAACTTCCACTGCATTCCAGCATCCTAGGAGTGGACATGCAGGTGTGCTCCACCTGGACACCAAACTTTCCACACTCTCACTGAACCCCAAGGTGATGCCTTTTGGAAAGGGAGTCTAATATCCTAAGCAGTCCGTCCCCAAAGAAGAGGGAGTTCTAGAAATGAGCCTGAGCACTGCTTCTGACTCAACGGTCTACAAAGAATGCTCAGAGCTAGTCTGTCCTTGAGAAGGGACAGTGCAAGCTCTGTCCGCTGAGTCTGATTTCATTAAACAATTGATAAGATCCCACACATTTGTTTCTACTATCTAATGCTAACACACACACACACACACACACACACGCACGCACGCACAAGCACAAGCACATGCACACGCACACAGACTCAACCATAGCCAAGGGGAGAATTGCTTCAATAATTACCCATTATGTAAATATGTACCTTGTTTCCTTATTACTTTCGTAATGTGGTCCCAAAAGTTCCAGTCTAAGAACCCTGAATCAAGTACCAGTTCTGTCTCTGCCAACAGCTGCCTCTGTGGCTCTGTGCAAATCCATTTCCATTTTCTCATTTTCTTAAGTCACCAAATTCTAGCAGTTGATCTATAAAAAGTCCTCGTATATTCCAATATTCAGAGACTATGCTTACTTTTACAACGTTTTTTTTTACTAGCTTAAGACTACTTATCCTAACTCTGAGGGAACTGAACCTGCATGATCATTTCCATAAATAGTTTTTTAAATGATAGTCGTAATGATGGGTTGGAAGTTAGTCCCAAAACTATTTTAGAAAAAAAAGAACAAAAAGGACCGTATCAGAGCATTTAAACGCACACTAAAATATCCCTGCCGTTCACATCCCTTCAGGCCAGCATCAGCCCAGGCGGCACAATAATAAATGGAATATCTAAGATGATCCCACGTGCACTGAACATCGCCTCATGTTCATTCATGCACACGTGTGAAAATGCCTCTTAGCCCCGTTGAAATGATTGCTGGAATGCCATCAGGTGCAGGAAGCAATATAAACATGAAAACTCAGGGTAATTACCCAGTCAAGTACCAGTGGTAAGACTAGGTGACAAGGAAAACACCCGTTATGTGTTGTCATAGCTGATACGTGGGTACAGTAAGTGGTTGCTAGGCTGCCTGAAAGTTTTGTTTATATCAGCTGAACTTCTCAGGACATGACAGCCACTGGGAGCCCCAGATAAGATCCAATGATCTATGGCGTGTGTGCCAAATAAATGCCTGATGGATGATTGCTATATGAAAATACTATAAAAGGTAACATTAATCAAAAGTAAGGCATCTTGAAGACTCAAAAGGCTCATTTTCCATCCCAAAGGTGAAACGGGAATTTCAGGAGGGTAACAGAAGAGGTTCATTTTCAAACTTTGTGGTGCTCCGTCACACAAAACACTCGCACCAAAATCCCAACAATAAAAACACACAATGAGAAAAGCGTTTATGCACCAACATATTACTAATTGCAAAGGGACTCCTTGGTCCAAAAAGCAATCAAGGAACATGCTTAAAGTGAGGAAACCCCTGGTTTGGCGCACCTGTTAGATTGTTTTTAAGTCAGACAGCTTTAAATAGTAGCGTTAGTCTTATTGAAACCCCATCTCTGGAGAAGCCCAGACGGGGGTGGCAGGGAGGAGGAGGGAGCTCAGAGAGGTTCTGAGCAAACTGGGCATCTTCCGCGGTGCATTCAGCCTCGCCTTCTGCACAGAAGGGCCAGTTCGCAGCCCAGGACTGCGAGGTTTCCTCCTGGAACCGACTCACCTTCCCTCCTGAAGGTGGCCCGGGCGGCGGGCAGGAGCAAGATGCAGAGGCAGCAGCTGAGCCAGAGCGGGGGCATGGCCAGGCCGGCGCGCCGTCCACGTCCACCGCTGCAGGGGTCGCTGCCTGGCGCCTGGCGGCCGCTGGTGGTGGTTCTCCCCTGCGCTCCGCTGTGCCTTCCTTGTCCTCGATCAGGTGGTTTTATCGACTCTTCTACCTGACTCAGTCCTGACAGGAAGAGAGCCTGCGTCTCGGGGTGTGACTCACCTGTGAATAAGGAGGACCCAGCCCTCGGGAGGCAGACAAACAGCACCCGCCGAGCTGTAAAAGCGCTCACCCCAGCCGCGGGCTCCCCCCGCGCGCACACCTGGCCGGGGCCAAGGGTGTGGTGCGGAGGCTGCGGCCCAGGGATCCTTCGGGAGGAATGTGCCAGGGCCCTCCTCCTCTCCCGGGGTGGTCCAGGGGTACCGAGGTAGCTAGCAGACCGCCCCTTCCTCAAACTGGGAGGTCCCGCCTCAAGTGCGCAAACGCAGAAAAAAATTGGCAGCCCTGATCGGCTGTGGTCTAAGAGGCATCGAGGAGAACCGGCCAGTCGGAGAGTTACAACAGGGTCCTCTTCTCAACCTCTTTCTGAAACACAGCAGCGGATCCCAGCCCACCCAATCTGCTGACACCTCATTCCTTCCCTCACCATCAGGGGCCAGGACCAACGGTTCCCCCCCCTGGGGCCCCATAAGTTCCTGATCACTTGGGCTAGCAGCTCATGAAGTCCCCTGTGGACAGGTGGGCCTCCCCATGAAGGCCCGGTAGTATCCCTAACAACTGGTACAGCATCTAGCTCACAGTCGGGGCCAAGTAAGTGTTCTAATGAATCGTATAAGAGGATCCAGATTTATTACTCCTTTTACATCCTAGACCAGGAGTGGGCAAACTTTTTGACTCGAGGGCCACCATGGGTTCTTAAACTGGACCGGAGGGCCGGAACAAAAGCATGGATGGAGTGTTTGTGTGAACTAATATAAATTCAAAGTAAACATCATTACATAAAAGGGTACGGTCTTTTTTTTTTTTTTTAGTTTTATTCATTTCAAACGGGCCGGATCCGGCCCGCGGGCCGTAGTTTGCCCACGGCTGTCCTAGACCCTATTTCTGTAGCCATTCGCTATGGACCCATTCGAAAAGGTTTGTTGAGACCCACTGTGAGTATCATCCAAGCCCACTGTGCTAGGTGAAGTGCGTGATAGCTAGAGAACGGAAAATCTTGGTGTGTCCAACATTGTCCCTTTCCTGTCCCTGTACCTTCTGCTCCTTGTATGTCCACCCATCAGGGCTGTGCAATGTCCCACAGTCCAGCAGGACCAAGGAGCAAGCCCTCCAAAATAAATCTTGAAGGTCAATTTCATTTTAGCACAGACCACTATTGTTCATTATATCTTAAAGGGTAGGACAGATATTTATATCTATCATCATTTTTGGATAGTGATAATAGCCAACACATATATTGTACCTACTATTTGTCATCACTGTATAAATCCTTTATACATAATAACCCTTTGGTCTTCAAAATAACACTATGAAATAGGTGTACTATTAATTTCGCCTTTTTACAGATGAGAAAAACAGAGGCTTGGAAAGATCACGTCACACTGTGAGTAAGTGGCAAAGCTAAGATTCAAAACCTGGCACTCTAGTTTCAGAGTCCATAAACCCTTTGTTAGGTCCGATTACAAAGCACAATAAAAAAGACAAGTTCACAATATTGAATGAATTCAATATGCAGTCAGTGGTTACTTGTCAATATCTATTATAACCCAAGCAGATTGTGGACTATTGGGCCACGTCAATAAAGCCAAATCACAATGGACTCTGAACAAAGAATTCTGGTTTTCCTCACATGTTGGCTCTGAAAGAACCCCTAGAGGTCACCTGGTCCTGGTTAGAAAAATGGGCAGCAGGCCCCTGGGCACCAGGCCAGCCAGCAACCTCTTTCCTGTAAAGAGGATGCGCCAGTGTTTCTCAGTTCCTGCCTCTTCTTGTGGCCTTATTCTGGGCTTCTTCATACATCTGAACAACCTGTCTGGCTCAGGCTTGCAATCTCTGTTCTGGCTTAATCTCCTACCTCACTCAGGGACAATATCAGCCCCCTTTGCTAATTTGAAATTTGTTCTCTAGGGCACTCCTGGGGTTAAGAGTATTCTAGTAGTCAAACATCAAGGCTCTGGAGCAGAATCTCAGGGCCCAATCCTGGCTCTCATCAAGGCAGGTTACTTAGTTTTCTCTGAGCCTCAGTTTCTTCATCTGTAAAATGGGGATAATAATAGAACACTCACCTGGAAACGTTGTTGGGGAAATGAAATGAGTTAATGACCTACCTAGAGCTCAGAGCAGCATCAGACATATAATATACACTATATAAGTAAGCTATACGAAAATATTATTGTTGTTGTTGCTTTTATTATCGCTAAGCACCGTCAGTTTTTCCTTGTTATAGTTACTAACAAATATGTGAGAAAGATGGGAGTTTTTTGCTTTAATCTTTTACTAATTGAAATTACTCAATCATAATTTTAAACTTCTGTGGAACTCTTGGTCTAATTTAGGTTTATGTCCTAACTACAAACATTTACCTGGAAGTTATTAAGTAACTTGTATTTTTGCTATATATCTGGAAATTTCCTTCACATTCAGATATGCCTGACAAATGGCTCAAAATTTGTGCATTTACACCTTCATTTTAAGTATGACAGGGTGGGATCTTCTATTTTGAGGAAACTATAAAGGTCAGATGGATATAAATATATTTTTATGACCAACTTCAATTAACACATGCTTTTCAAAAAGGCAACAAAAATCGATTTGCTTTTCCACATGACCCAAATAAATCTTTTTTTCAAATCCAAACGAAAGTCAATTTGATGTACTTGTAAAAATGGTTAAGGTGGTAACTTTTATTATGTTTACTTTAACACATTAAAAATGTAGAAAAACACACAACAAAAAAGAATGAACTACTGATACATATAGGGCATAGATGAATTTGAAAGCATTGTGCTAAACGAAGGAAGCCAGATGCACACACACAAAAACATATCCTATATGATTCTATTTACATGAAATTCGAAATGAGGTGAAACTTTGAGGAAAGAAACCAGTTCAGTGGAGACCAGAGACAGGGGATTGACTGCAATGGGGCATGAGGATAATTTGTGGGGATGAAAGAAACATCCTGAAATATGACAGTGGTAAAAAATAATCCAATTGTACACTTAAAATAGATATACCTTTGATTGTATATAAATTATACCTCAATAAAACTGGTATAAAAAATAAGAGAAAAAGCTCAAAAAATCTACTTGATAATTGATCCATTAAGTCAAATGTGCAAACTCAAACCCAGAACCAGAAACAGCGTCTGCATAAGTCGTGACATGCACAGCACAGCACAGCACAGAGGGCGTCCACCCTGAGTCTCGCTGCTTCTGATGAGCCCTCAGGAACTCCAAGCAGAAGGCCATCTTGGGTCTCCAGGCAGAAATTCCACCCAAGAATTGCAGGGGGACCCCTCTTCTGGAGACCTGCCTGTTTCGGCAGTTTGCAAAACTTCACAGATGCTTTTCTGAAATGTTTGCTTAGGAGCCCGTACTTCACACTTGTCTTGGAATTTTGTTCTAGGAAGTCAGCACTGGAATTTGCCTCTTATCATCCCCCAAGTTGTCACATTCATCTACAGGGTAAGCCCTGGGATCAGTGGGGACAATGTCCTAGCAGAAGGCCTCCAGTCCTGCAGATGGAAAGGTCCTGGAGCATTTCCACGGGGCAGGGCAGGAAGGCCGAGGCCCTGGAAGTCCCCTCGGTCCATTGTTTTATTTGCAGCTCAGTCACCACCCGTCCCCCCCCCCCCCCCCACAGGGGACTTTCCTTCTTACAGTGCTGTGTCAGTCACTTCACAGAGCTGTCATCTCTGCACCCGGACCTCCCAAATAGAATTGCAAGTGACATGTTGATTTTTGCCCCGAGTTCCATCTTTACCTCAGTTCACTTTCAGAAGGAATGTCTGGCATGTCACCGCGTTCACTCACTTATGATAAAAACTGAAGCACTGGCTGTTCACATGCCGACATCAGGACATCAGACCCAATTCCCTGCCCTTCATCTCCCCAGATAGCACCCCTGACGTCAGCTCCTGCATAGCATTTTTAAATGTAAAAAATAAAGCAATCGGGGCACGGGGGGGGGGGGGGGGGGTAGCGGGGAGGGCAACTCCCCTTGTTCTTAATTGTAAAGGAAAATGTCCATAAATGGAAATCTCATGTTTCCTGGATCGACTGGGTAAATTCTCTGAGGTTGGCCGGATTCCAGAGCAAGGCTCTCTGAAGCGAGCGCCCTGGCTGAAACGGCCAGCTTTCACTTTAGGCAGAAGCCTATATGGCGTCCCCACAGCAGGATCTCGGGGATTTGCAGCCGCCAGGCCTGACTCTGCCTTTTACTTGGGGAGGGAGGCGATCCTTTTTCTGTGGTTGGCTGGGGACCCACGTGGGCCAGGAATTGGTGGGCCATCACAGCCCTGCACAAAGAACAACTTCCTTGCATCTATTTGGGTGTAGTTACTGCAGACAGAAATATTCAAATCAAGTCTTTTTTTTTTTTTTTTTTCAACCTATACCACAAATAGAGAGGGCCAGAGAGAGGGCAGTGCTCAGAAAACAAAATAGAAGAAAATAATAATAATAACCAAGAGAGTGAAAGATTCTGAGAGGCAACTTCAGTAGATGTCGGGGTGTGCCAACTGTCACGTTCCTTTGGGCTGAAATTTTGTCATCCACTCCTGGGTGAGATGCCCATTAGCAGATTAAACACTGCCCATGGCTCCTCGGCCACTCTATACTTGGACCAGACATATTTGGATTTGAATGAGAGGCCACCTGGTTTGAAGGAGCCCACCGCAGTGAAAATTCTTCGCTGGGCTTCATGGTGAGGTCAGGGCTGCAGGCGTGACA